TTTTTTGCTTCAAAATAGCAGCAAAAAAGAAACAGAGCTTCGAAACTGAAAAAAAGACTTACTGGCACTACTTTTGCTAAGCAATTTCCGATGTGTGAAGCATGCCGATATAAGTTGGTGAGCGAGCACAAAGTCGAAACCGTCCTTGGTCCCATTCTCGACAGCGACCTGCAACAGAACTTGAATATTCTCAAAGTGTGGAACATAAAAAAAGGGAAGTCTTTGTATGCCATCTTCTCAATCTGTGCTCGGTGAGCAGAGCATTATTGTCAACCCATTGACGACATCTTGACGCGCATGCGCGTCAAGGTTTTGTCACTACTCCTTTTTTGCGAGATCGCGACTTTTTGGCGAGATGACTTTTTGGAATTTTTTTGTGTTTATTCAATATGCAGAACTTTAAGAATTCTACAAACAACGTGGTCCATGATCGAAGCAAATATGGTTCATTCCAGCTAAGGTTTTCCAAACCTTGTAAAAGTCTCACTTAAAACTGAACTTCGACTTCCTTTTCAGAACAAACATAAGAATCGTAGGACTAATCATAAGTAGTTAGTAACAACCACAATAATGTCAAGAGATTACGTTTCTACGCAACAAGGCTTGTGTTTTTTATTGGAACAAACAATGCAAAAGATTTTCCTGAATCTATTGCAACGTTGCTGCGTAACACTGTACACATCTCCTCCTGTTGATTCCTTTTAAACCTTTAGATACCTCCTCCAACTCGTCGCATGGAGTGACAATGATGACCCGAAGTGTAGCTAGATCAACATTTAGCAGAGATTCGACCACTTCTAGTTTGAAGTCATTTAGCCTGATATTCCTCACCACATCTTTGTACAGCTTCCAAGCTTTACAACTCCTGCCATTTTGGTGTTGCTTTTGAGATGTTCCTTGTCATTGACGTTATAAGAATTTGAAATTGGCCAGGCGACTACGTGGCGCACGACTTTTCTGCACTCTCTTAGTGAAATTCACATTCATTCTCTTGTAAATTCTTATATTCCAGGTTTTACTAATAACAAGCTGTATGTCCTACTACCCCCAGTTCTCCCTTCAGCTTTCTAGGCATCTAGGTAGCAATTTCCTATCTTTACTTTGCAACGGCACAAAAGCTGTTTCTATTTCGCTAAAAGAGAGCAGACAAGCAGAGCACCCCCCTGCCTGCTACTCTTTTCATTTACCAACATAATACACTTTTGAAAATGCCTCTCAACCTTGGCTTCCAAAAAACTGCACCTCGTGGAACATCTTGACGCGCATGCGCGTCATGCTGGCTGCGCCCGTCAAAACGCTCATGTCCCACGCGATCGAAATATTCAAAACGCGCGCTGTCGACGATGGGCTTAAAGTTGTTCTGAAGCTGGTTGAAAAGCACCTCTTTCTAAGAGCACTACAAACTACTGGATTAAGGTGCAATTTTTCTCGTGAAGATCTCAGATCCACTCCATCCGAATCACAAAGCGTCATATTGCTGAGTAGTTGCATCGTAAAAAAGGTGGTATATGAAGCTATCGCACTTGACAAAATACTTAACATTCGTTTTCAGCATTGGAAAAGTATTACCAGTTCTAAGCTCCTCTCACCAACCTTGTGCGGAAATGACGTCGTTTTGATTGATTCACTCACTTCCTATACAACTACTTTTATATATTCAGGAATCACTATTTTAGAATCCAATAGTTACCATGCTTAACCGGTTTAAAATCAAGAGAGAGGTTTACCGAAGAAGATCAAAACCCCCGGGCTCATTGAATTCGCTTGCTCAATCAATTATAGAAAGATTTAACCCATCGGCGACCGCGCCTTTTTAGCGTGTCTGGCGTGTGGGACCGAGCGCGCTTTTCGCGGGCCGCTGGCGGGCCACACGGTCCCAGGAGCGGTCATTTTTTTCGTCAGCATTTCCAGCCGACAAAAACGTTTTTTTAAATGTGGCCTGTAAAGGTTATAAGTCATACACACTATTTAGAGCTACGTTATGGCAGTTGACTGTTCGAAAGGAGTGAGAGTTTTTACCAAATCATTTCCAAATGCGACTCTGTCTAGACACGAGGAAGCAGACAAGATGGAATGGCATGTGACCAATCATCGGATACCTCAGCAGAGTCCCTTTACATCCTTTTTACATAAATTAGGTCATCTTTGGTTTTGCTCCTTTACCAATGCCCTCGGAAGTAGCTTTGCTTTCTCTTATTACTAAAATCAGAAGTAAACGTTTCATGGACCAGTGCGCGTCAAGATTCCATAGTAGGTTCAAGATTCCTGTTCGATACTAGAAAGGGTCAAAAAAAATCGAAAATGAATGTTATACATGGAAAATAGTACTGTGGTCCGTATACGGGCCACGCGGTCGTCAATGGGTTAAGGTTGAGAATCCGTTGTTAATCAACTTTTATATGAAGATGCATTGGGGGAAGGCGGGAATGTCGAACATAATCGGGTCACGATTTGCTTCACCTGAGAGGCAAATATCCACTAAGTAATCAGTCATGCAACTAATGATAGAGAACTGGAAGAACTGGCTCGATTGATATGGAAGTACTATTGGTACAACTGCCTACTACTGCTACAAACTAGGTCCTGCATTGATTGAATTTAATGGATTAGTTGAAAAAAAGTCAAATAAAGCTGGTAATGGAACAACGCTACTTGCACCACGCCATCCTTCATAAGAAAAGAAAAAGCACTGCACCATCCCTAATTGGAGAAGAGGGAAACACCAGAATCAAAATAGTTGAAAGGGAAGGATGACTGAACAGCTGGCTAGTGGACTGGTTACAAAATAAGGAACTTACCTGTAGAGCGGCTAAGAGGTTGTCTTCAAAGTACGAGGAGAAAGCTCGCTGATCGCTGCACCATTGCGTAAGTTCAGCGCAAGCGGAGGGGAACGTTTGCTCTTCCATGAGACTCTGAAAAAAAATTCTCGGAAACTTTCCAGACAGTAAAAGTTAACCTGCATCTCGGTTTGCTATACTAACAGCTAATTACCGCTGTGAATTGCGAGACGCCTCCTACTAAGGGAGTGCCACCCAGTTGGAGTAGCCGTTGAGCCTCAAAACAAACTCCAATTACTGCCTTTGTTATAGAGAACCGTGAACCCGGCCCACCTCTCAAGACTCAACGCCTCTTCCACTTTTGTCTTGTTAATAATGTTTGTCATAGCATGTATGCACACCCACGTATACTGTGGTGTGTCTGATAGCCTATCTACAGCAGACATTGTTCAGCTTTAGTAGATGCTAAATATGCCAGAGCTCACGCTTTGAATGTTATCCAAAGTAGCTGAGTGTGGGGCACAGCCTTACATGGTAATCATTCATAGAAAGATGGTATCCATAATGCAAAGGAGAATACTACGGTGCCCGCAAAGCTAATCACATTAGCGAGACCATACGATTAAATCGTCATTGTAGACAGAGCTGAGATTAGAAATTCATAGCTCTCCTCTAAAAGCATCGGATTAAGTCAAAGGTTTTTGAAGGATAAACGGTCCAATGCTACCCCAAAAATGAAAATGTTCTAGAACATCCAAAAGCGGTACCCTGGTCTTCATGGCGGGCGAAGCTTGCGCTGAGGTTTGTGGTATTGCGCTTCAACGTGCTTTACCGAACTAGTGAAAGGTATTTTCTATCAATTGGAAAAGCAGCCTGAATTGTGTTAGCACAAGTTTCTAATTTCGCCATCAACTCGACCGTTCTGAAGTAGCGATATAGCGATGGTCATGCCGATACCTCCGGGAAAGGTTTGAGCTACGCTTCAGCTGAGAACCATTACTGATTTTACAAACGTGGCGAGTGTGAAGCAAACTTTCGGTCCTGGACAGGACTCGAGCTCATGCTCAGGCTCTCCGAGCACCATGCTCTTTACCCCACAAATTATCAAGACTCATGCGTTCAACCTGAACAGCTAGTATAAGCCAAATAACAGACTGCAACTTGTTTTGGTTACAACTGCTGATAAGCTATATTATAGAAGCCATTAAGAGCGCGACAGCAAGTGCGATCTCGGTAGTGTAAGGATAGTCAACACGCTGCCAGGTAAACGCAAGTACGGGCTTCAGCCCCATCTGAACAAAATTTCCCGCATGACTAGGCAACCCTAGGAGAGGCAGCGGCAAAATAACAGCAGTTGACTGAACAGCATGTCATCAGTGATTTGGGCTGGCTGAGAATTACTGAGGAGGGCATATTCTCCTGTCGCCTGTCGAATAGGCTACGACAACTTACAATCTCTTGTTTTCTATCCCATACACAAAGAAATATTCCATCAGTGCTTCGACTTTCTTAGGCAAGCAACAACAGTGATACCGTGTTTAACCAAGTTTCTGGATAGGAAAACCACTTGATAGCTCGTTCAATACGATTGAAAACGACTGGCTTTTGGTTAGTTATAGCAAGCGTCTCATATTCATAGCGTGCTAATGATCAGCGAAGGTGAAAACCAGCTAGTTAAGGGTGAGGCTGAAGTTTGACTTCAACTGATCCCATCCGAGTTATGCGCCCCACATTCGACTTCCATTCAGAATCGTAGTGGTGTACTGAATCCTATGTAGCAGGGTGACGGTACTTCTCACGATTTCCCAATGCGAGCTGCAGTGGTTTCATTCCAACCGTATCCCTTCCCTTCATAGCTTGCGAACGCAAGCGTCGGTGTGACGACCATGACACGAATTCCGGGGAGAAGTACCCACAGTATGGGCGTATACAATGACTTGCAGCGATGTATAAGCCAATGCTCTAATCCTCTCAGGCGATTGTGGTCTAATTGACCGACCACGGAGGGAGAGAAGAATTGGTTGGAAGGCGGTTTTGGATCCGGGATTCGAACCCGTGAGTCAGATAGTGCGCCGTGGGTATGAAAGGCTTAGTTGGCTGGGCGAGTATAGGTGAGGAATTCGAACCGCAAGCGCGAGTTATGCGCCCAGCATTCGGCTTCCACTCGGAATCGTAGTGGTGTACTGAATACTATAGCCAATGCTCGCCAAAGAAAAAATTAAGCGAGACTGCCACTGGGAAAATACTGCAAATAAGAAAAGAGATAGGAATTCATTTAAAGCAATAATGAGTTAAACGAAAATTTTGAAACCTGCGAGACTATTCAAGAAATTACCTCGGAACAACTTTGTAATGCCGTTGGCCGATCTGGTAATGATCGTGGGGTTATCTACTGTAGAAAATATGCAGCAAGAAAGTGTAATATATGTTCTGAGCATTGATGTTTCAACCTTGTTAGAGGCAAGTGGGGCGGCCTAGGCCCAGAAATCATCACTTTTTTCGTTACCTTCCGCCCATTATCCATCTCATTTATCTCTCCACGCTTGTATCATCTCTTTCATCCAGCCCGTCTTTGCAAATGGTGTTTATGCATAACTGCATTATATAAGGATATTCCAGTCATATAACTGGTGATGCTCGTTAATCCAAATTTTCTTTATGAATTACATAATTACGAGCGAATTCGCTGTATCGGAGTAGGTGATGCCCCTCTTCAGAGCTTTACGGTTGAAATTTGGAATGCTACAAGGTTCCCTTCTTTAGCTTCTTCATCGGGCAGGCTTTTTACGAACATCCAACAACCTTTCTATTGTTTATCGGCCGTATTGGCTAGCATGAACACCATCCCATACCGGATTCGCGCCTGTCACCCGATCGCGTTAGTGAGATCGAACAGCGACCAACAATGATGTCTAGCAGTCTAGCAGCTGATCAGCGTCGATTAGAGAAGGTTTCTCAGGAAAGTTTAGTGCGTGCTGATCTATGAAGCAATCTGTCCTACTCGTAGTTATCGAGGGGTGAAGAGGCTCTTTTGGGGGACAGCGTCAACTGGTTAGCTACCACTGAGTTGAAATGTTTAGAAACGGGTAGGAATGGCTACCTTCCTAGTCAAAGAGGCGCTATGTCTTCTAGTCTAGCGAAGCGCAAGTACAGCTGAGACCAGAAACCAGTGCGGCCCCGTACCATCAAGCGTTGAAATTGACGACGGTGAACGCCAGTGCACCATGGTTCTTACAGCTGCCGTCTTGCTTCTTCCCTTTCTGCTGCTTCGTTTCTCATCGCACCAAAACTCGATTTATGGGCTCACTACCATTGAAATTCAATTGCTCATGTTGCGACTTGAGCTTTTGGCCGCATTTCAATCAGAGCGCTTCGTTGCTCGTTCTCGGGCGTGTCAAACTATGTGGTGGATTCACCACGGTGGAGGGCTGCTACGTTCCGCTAGCAATTGTTCGGACTATTGCAGCCTACATACTCCTTAAAACGAGCAAGGTTCACAATGGGGAGGTTGTCTTGATAAATCAGTGTTTATTATTAATTCCACTCCCAGAACACGAAACATGGATGTTGTGATAACGAAAGACCATAGTATAAGTTCCTTGTCATGACAGTATTTAACTGAAACTGATGATTAGCCCCATGACTTGTACCTCCCTTACTAAGAATTTACTCATGAATTTCTACGAATTCACTGAAAAGAGTTGAACTATCTTGACCGTCTCTCAGTTCAGTTTTTTTGAGTTATCGAAAGCTCCCAAATAAGATGATTTCAGATCAGATCTCCGACATTCCCGCAGTTCTAATATAGGGCCTATACAGACAGAAAAGAGAAGGTGAAGTGAAAAATATCGAAAGACTACAAAGACCAGATTTCTCTTAACCATTCGAATGGCTATGGTTTTGTTTTGCATAATGTAAAATGCCAGTTGAACGATTCAAGCTGACATCCCGTCCATTGGCGCAAAGAAGAAAGCTCGGAACCGGATCAGTGCAGGGAAAAAATCTGCGCGTCATCTGATTGTGAGTCAGATGGCAGTCACATCGCGGAAACTTACTGTTTTGATGGAGACGAGTCGTTGATTGTTTTGCTGGACATGCTCCTCGTACGAAATGTCATCGGTCATTGCAACGCCGCTCGTCGCGAGCGCGACAGTCTGGAAGACATTTAAATTACTCAAATGGCCATTTTTTCAACTCTCGACTTCAGGAATAAGGACGAGAAGCGATATTATCGGAAAATAAAAGATGTTTATTCTCTATGGGAAGACTTATCGTGAATCCCATGATCTCAGAGCTATATCTAACACAATTCCTTCTTTCGGAAGATTTTTCCAAAGAGGTTTTTTGAAGGGGCTCTATCCATCTCATCGCCTATCCTCCAGGTCTCCACATGGTTGCGTTACAGGAACCGAATAGCTATTCTTTTAGAAGCTAACGCAGCTCCTAAAAATACAACTATCACCTACGATGATCAAGTTTACCCCATGTCAGCCGATCGGAATGTTTTCTCCTGCCCATTATGTGAGTACCATTTTTGTAGTTCGTCCTTCTGATGGGAGGCATCACCCAAGAAAGATTTCGACAATCCCATCAAAGAGTGAGAGCCTCTCTGAACTCCTACAATAGATCAGTGCCTCGAAGTGTTAAAGCACTTTTTTGGCCCATCTCAAAGAGATGATTGCCCAAGCTTTGAAAATTGAGTACACATGAGCGTTATTTATAAACTATCACAGTGATGCGATACTTTCCAAAACGGAAGTCACCTCCTTCTTGAACGCCCCGTTTTCTCCCACGCCAATTGAATGCACAAACAGGAAAGTGAGGGCGCTCTAGGATGAAGTTTTCCGGGTGGGAGAATTTTCGTCACCCGGAAAAATTCCCACGGACGCACGCAAGCACGCGGCAAATTTTTGATAGCGGTCTCGCGGCATTAAACAGCAATGACCACCGACACCCATTCAAATCTCAACCATTCAATTTTGATCCGTTGCGCGCTTCAATCATCCAATAAGTTTCTGCCACAGTGGCGGCACCGACTCCGCTTCGGACTTTTTGAAAAGTATATAATCATGCAACTAAAGTAAAAATTTCGGAAACTTCAACAAATGGAGGATGAATAGGCAAAGTTG